CAAGCGTAGGGATTACATTAATTGCAGCCTCTCGTGACTCTTTAAACCCCCCCCCAGTTGTCTCTCTTGGTTTTCTCTTCTTTGACAATTATCTGGCAGAAGCGAGACTTATTAAGATTACAAAAATCTTTTTTATTCACATATCAGTTACACAATTGGATCATTTAAAAGTTTCTGACACACTGTATACGCATTGTCTTGAAAGTGCAGGGTTTTTGGTAATTGAGCCGTATAGGGGGTTGATTTTAACCAAACCCCCCCACTTTCACTTTGAACTGAGCAATCACAAACTTTTACTGTATGTATTCATTTGAAATGCTTACCGTTATGTCCTGCTGTTTTGGGTTTTTTGCATATCAAAGCGAATGGGGAAAAAACACCAGAAAAACTGCGGTCTCTAAACAGCGGGACGCCATTTATTATTAATTTACGTCCGATCTGCTAACCCACTCGGATATCTGTTTTGTTAAGGTTAAGGCAAATCAGTTTCTTAACAAGTTATTAAAGAACTTTCTTTCCAAATGCCAAAAGAAACAGAGGAAGTGAGACAACTGTGGGCGACATCTCACCTTTGTGACTTGTCAATAATTACCCCGAGCCAGGATTGTGAGTCCAGTTTGTCCAGTGAGTCCAGTGAGTCCAGTGAGTCCAGTGAGTCCAGTGAGTCATTAAGGAAGAAGAGTAGGTGAGTTAATGGTGTGTTCAGGGACCTGGGGTTTGTGTTGAGAAAATGAGTAGATGTGACTCATCCCTCAAACAGAAACAGACAATGATCGGGCCACTGAGCAAGAAGAAAGAGCTGTTGGTTATGTGACTACTCATGAGTCTGTATTGTAAATCCCCCTGTTGTCCGTGGTGTGTTTTTCTTTGGGGGGTTTAGCTGGGGGCAACGTTGCTTCTTCCTGCTTCCTGAGGCTGTGCAGCTCTCTGAGAGACAGCTGAGGGGATTGGCTTTCGTTCATGTAAGATTAAGGATAAAACAAAAAGCCTTAATCTCCGTGATGCCCACCCTGCCTCCAATTCCCGAGGTTTTAACTTGTTGAAACATCTATATAAACCTTTTTTGTATTTCTACTTTCAAGTGTGGTCTTTTACTTTTGCTTGATTACACAGCCAAGGCTTCAAAGCTTATACTGCACATGTGGCATGAAACCAGACAATCTCACTACTACATTTCAATTAAATGTAGGCTAATACATGTTTGTGTTCTAGCCCAAAGCATAATTGTGTTTAATTCACCCAACTGAGGGGTGTAAGCGGATGCAAGGCCTCCCTCAGGGTTTCCTCTCAAAGAGTCGACAGAGAAATCAATATATCTCCACCTCCCCTCATACACCCCTTTCCCTTCAGGCAAAGTGTGTGTGTGTGTGTGTGTGTGTGTGTGTGTGTGTGTGTGTGTGTGTGTGTGTGTGTGTGTGTGTGTGTGTGTGTGTGTGTGTGTGTGTCTGTCTGGGTTTTAGTGAATGTGCACAAAAATGTCTGGTATGCATAAACTGCTAAATATTTATCTCAGTGGTTTCGGAAAATTCTAATTAAATCTCCCGCTGTGTTTATTTATTTCACGTCGACATGTTGTTTCAGGGGACTGCATCTTCCATTAATATTACATGGATATTTAGAGTTGTTGGTGGTACCCTTGGCCTTCTGTGAGAATATTTGGTTATTTAGAAAAATACGTTTGTCTCCATATAGCATAGGAGAGATTTTCTACCAGAACTGAGTTCTATTGAGTTCAAATTGAAGGAATAGTTTGACATTTGAGAAATAAAGCCGAGCTATTCAACATGTGCAAGGTATGCTAAAGCCCTTAGCCTATGCTATGCAGTATCTAGGGCTAAAGCCAGGAGTTGATTGTTTAGGTAGCATAAAGGCTGAAAGCAGGTGGATATAAGGTTCCCTATACACACAACTCTTTTGTTTAATGTGTACACAAAGTAAAAGCACTTACAAAATGCATAAAACGTGTTGGTTACCTTAGCTTAAGGTGCCAACACTGGAGGCAGCCTGGCTCCATCTAATGTACAAAGACATGCCTTCCAGCACTGCTTAGCTTGATTATTAACCCGTTTAACAACATGCAGACAAAGCACAGAGACTTACTGGTGTTTGTTATAGTTACTACATTTATCTACCTGTCAAATTCACAACAAAGAGAGTTACAATGGGAGGGGTTTGACGTGGCTAGGCTAGCTGTTTTCCCCTTGCTTTAAGCCCTGTAAATGCTAAGCTAATTCATCCTGGGTCTAGCTCAAACACGGGTCTAACTCGAGGCGAGAAAGAAAACTTGTCCCAACATCTTGAACTGTTAATCAACAGTGTTAAAAATAAATATAGCTGACTAATAGTGTCACCCGTACTGTGTAAGTGTTAGCTGTGGATCACATGATGCGCCATGGGGAAGCTAACTCCTACATTCGGCCTTCACTCTGTCAGATGACTGGGACATGTGATGGTGCTGAAGAAAAGAGCAAATGCAGGATAAGTTCATAAAGTGCAGGCTGTATGATATTACAATATCCATAGCTTGACATTTGTGACATTACCCCACCGTTACTGCTCTCCATTTACTGATTTAGCTCGTTTTTATTGTCATTCTCTTAAAGACTTATTTTCATTACCTCAAGCCATGGCAGGCATGAAATTGAAGCTCTGAGGTTACACAACTTGGGGACCTATTGAACTTTAGCTGACACTGTGTTGGTAACCTCCCTCATATAAATCATATCTAAGATAACAATAAAAGAAAAATCTAACACCACTCTCAAGAATGTGTCCAGAGATCCAAGTGAAACCACATTGTTTCTCCAGTTGTCTAGCATTTTCCAGCCGGCTCTAAAATAATATAAAATGCGACTTTAGCCTCCATTGAAATGCCCCTTTTCCAGTTCTCCAACGGGGCATTAAATTGAGCTTTTGCGGGCATCTCTTGAAAGCATAGTTGTGGTTTGTGGCCAGGAAAAGGAACTTGTAGCAACACGAAGAAGTCTGTCATTTGTTGAGAATAGAAACAGCTCAGGGACTTCTTGGTTGATCCCTGAACTCGGTAAAAGGAAATTGATATGTCATATTGTTGGGTTCAGAATTCCAGAAAGACAGAAAACTTCTAAGTTTAACTATTTATTGTAAAGAGAGCAAAAGATATCACTTGGCCAAGGACTCGTCACGTCTTGGAAATCACAGGTAGCCAAGCTATAATCTGTAACCACCAAATCCGTAAAGAGCCTCGAACCTCGTGCGACAATACATTTTATTACACAGGGCGTTGCCCGTGCATTTATGATTGGTCAAGACTAGCTGAAGAGATACCGCGGTTTAGACTTGGTTCTCTTTGGTTGGTGCGCAGGCTCAGATAGAGTCTCTTGGCAACACGATCCTCCAATCAGCATTCGGCCGGCCTGTGGAAGTCCCTCCCTACTCTGGCACCATCAAACTAATTTGTTTTCTCTAACGTTTCTTCAGATATAGTGGGAAACCATAATGTTGCTTCCTAGCTTTGCGTGGGAGCGCGGCTCCCATACAACTCAAGGCCGGTGCGATGTGCTGTTCTGACTACCTCTTTGTGTTCTCTCAGTCTCTGCAC